GTTCCAGGACTCAGCTCAGAAAAGTGTGATAAGTTTACCAACACCTCTGAAATGGCTGTGTCCCTTGCTTGGTCACAGCTGCCCCTAGCCCTTCACTGCCCTCGACACAGAGTGTGCAGCTGTCCTGGGACCTTTCCCACGGGTCCCTCTGCATCCTGATCCGTCCGTAAGTCTCTCTCGGGCACTCTGTCTCCCGGGTCCTGATGAGTAACTGTAACCCGGGATGCACGCAGGTGGAAGAGCCGTTGTAGGCATTAAATTCAATTTAGTATCTTTTACCTTAAATTTTAACAAGAGGATTTTAATGCGTGTATTTCTACACTCCCTCTGCTCTCAGGCATCTGAATTAAATTGCCTTTTACATCTTTTGGCTCAGGCCTAATGTCCCCCCTCCATGGCCCACTGGGGAGCCCCTGATCTGCTTCAGGAGAAAGTCATCAGCCAGACGCAGCTGGCTGTGTAGACAGACGTGTGTAGGAAGAAGGGGTTGGGAGGGAAGTAGAGGCAGGAAGGGATGGGCTCTCTGGGCCCGGGACACCCCTGGAAGTTTTGGGGGTGAAGGAGACACTGAGGAGTTTCCACGAGAAGGAGCCCAGGGCTCCCCACTGGGACTGCCATCTGCATAATCACCCTGCTTCTGGCCCTGCAGTGTCTTTTGGTTTTGTTTTCAGGGTTTTTTATTGTTTTTTTTCCCCTTTTGGTTTCCTGTTTGAATTATTTCAGCTTTGGTACATTTTAGAGAATGGAAAAAATTCTAAGTAGAATTTTACCGCAAAAAAGTGGCTTTCTCTCTCTTTTTTTTTTTCACTTCTAGTCCTGGTCTCTATCTGCCATATATAGTTTGAGTGGTGGCAGATGAGATTTGACTTTCAGATAGCCGCCTTGTTGACTTCGGGAGACTCTGGTGCCATTCCTCCAGGGCATCTGAGCAACTTAAGTGCTGGTTCTTTCGACTGTGTGGGTTGGGGTCTCTCGCATGTCTTCGTGCTGAAGAATGGGGGGTGGGGAGCAGTGAGGCCTAGTTAATCCACTTTCCAATAGGACAGATGTGCATGGTGGCCTCATTTCAGCCACCACCCAAGTGGTCCATTCCAAACGTACTAAAATGAAATTTTGTTTTTTCTCTCTTGACTAACATGGGTGAGGACCAAATTCATAATTCTGGCAGGAGAGGCTTCATTGCCAAACCCGGCCCCCCATCCCCCCGCCACTCCCATGTTGCTTGTCCTTGTCCTCGACCCTCTTTGTATATCTTTTCCCGCTGGTTGCCGGGGTCAGCATCGCCCCAGCGACGGGAGGGGAGGCTGGCGGGTCACTGCTGAATCCTCCCTGGTGGGCTGGCGGATGGGGGACCCAGTGAAGGTCCTGACATGGGAAATTTTATCCCCTCTCTGCTGTATTTGGGGAAATGAGATTTGACTCATGAGATCATCCAAGACGTGATGATGAGTTTTCCGCGAGGCACCTCATTTGTGGTGTTCTCATCTATGGCTGTTTTTTTGAGTTATATATAATCCAGTTAGTGACACGTGGGGGGAGGTGGGGAGATGGATTTTAAGTCTGTCTTTTAAGAGTCTTAATTCCACTTGCTGTAGCAAAGCCGATTTGAAGATTGACTCAAGGGCATACTTCATAGGCAGGAGAGCCAAGGGATTGGGCCTGCCGCTCGGGCTCCACATTGCCCTGGCTTTGAATCTCAGCTTTACCGCTTACGTTTCAATCTTTCTCTCCTGTGCGGCTTCCTCATCTGCAAAAGAAGGGTGGTTGGACTAATAGCAATAAAAATAATAATGAACATGGACTTGGAGACTCAGGGTTTGCCAGATGGCATGCTCAGCGCTTCCCTAACATTTCCACCCCCCCCCAACGGCTCCCGAGGCAGAACCTGCTCCATCCCCCATGTTACTCCGTGGGAACTGGCGTGCGGTCAGCACTCCGTGGGTGCCAGGCACTGTTGCCATCCCCAGGCTGAGAAACAGAAGCTTAGGGAGGTGAAGTCACCAGGGCATGAGCAGGGCTGGGTTGGGGCCCTGGGTGGAGGAACGTCTTCAGGTGCATGAGGGAATGAATTCCTATGGAGCATATAGCATGGCTCTGGCAGATAGCCACACTCAAACTGTAGCTGTTTTAGCGACCAATGAAGCCATACACTTTCCTACTAAAGCACTGCACTTCTCTCCTTAGATGAAGAAACCCCACTCCTCGTAATGTCATCGTATCTTGTACGAACCCCTCAGGGTTGTCTATGAGCTGCAGCTGCTCCTGTGGGACTTCTGGGGTCCCGCCCCCAGGTTGCTCCCTGGCGCCCACACCAGCCCCCATGATTATGCTCCCGGGCCCTTGTTGGGTTAAGCCACTTGACCAAAAACTGTACCAGTTAGGTAGAGGGAGGCCAGGAGTGTAAGCTTGTATTCCAGGTTTGCACGCGAGAGGCATACTGAGCCCTCATGTGTTTGTTTTCTGATAAGTTGATCCTATCTCCCTTTCTTGGGTTGGAGGCGGGGTTTAATTTCAGGGTAAAGGCAGTAGGGCTAGGGAAGTGTGTTGTACATGTGGGGTGGGGTGTCAGATGAGCCATAATCTGTAGGGGACCCCTTGGAGGCCCCAGGCAGCTGCCAGAGAGGCTCATGCTCAGGAGAAGGTGCTGGTTTAGGGGGTCTCAAATCAAGTGCCCCAAGGGGCCTGCCAGGAACTCAAAGGATGCCAGGGGTTGGTTAGAGTCTGGGACAAATGAGAGCAGGGTGCCCCATGGAGGAGGCAGCAGCCAGACCCCACCTCAGTGACTTCAAGCCCTCCAAGTCCACACAAAAATGAGCACGAGCCAGTGGGAAATGGGCAGATGCTCTACAAGTCTCTTCCTGGAAGAAGAAATGTGAATGTGTTCCTACAGAAATGCAGACTATAGAGAGAAATCACAACCAGGACCCAGGATCGGGGTGGAGGGAGAACGCAGGTGCTGGGACATGTGATGGGGGGGGTTAATTGATGGTTTGTTCTGGAAGGCACTTTGGCCATAGCTGTCAAAACTAAAAATGTACACACCCCTTGATCCAGAGTTTCCTGTTTTGAAATTATCCTAAAAGCTACCCTGAGCCCACAGGGACCGTTGGAGGATAATGTCTGTCTCGGCAATGTTTGTAAGAGTGAGAAATGGAAAACAATCCAAATGGTTTATCACTACGTACATATGTGATGGTCTGTCTTTATACTGAAATATTATGCGTTCTTTAAAAAGAAGAATGTAGATCTATATGTAGTGATATGAAAAGATGTCTACTTTGTATGAAGAGAAACAGCAAACTGTAAAATCATGTGTAATATTCCATTTTTCTAGAAAATGTTTATAAATACATGAAAAGAAATTATGTATCACCTAGACAAAATTCTAGTTCTTGCTGAGTTTAAGGATTTACTAAAAGTATTTGCATAGGTCAGAATTGTCACAGTTGGGAAATCACTCCGAATTAATAAAAATCTAAATTATAGATGTAAAGGCAGTATAGCTTTACATTTTTAAACAGCTCCCAAAAAGTTTTACTAAATAGCTAGGCAGGGCTAAATATGTAATGAACAGCTAATGAATTGTTCTGAACAGATGAGTACCTGTTTTTGAAAATGCCCTTTTAAGTCATTGTAAGTGTGTCTATTCTTATTTACTGGTAACTTTATTTCTTTTTTTCTTTTTTGGTTAACTTTATTTGCTGGTAAATTCTTTCCTTATGAGAGTTTAAATGTATATCAAATATCCATATAGTCAAAAATGCTAAAATTGGGGCGCCTGGCTGGCTTAGGTGGTGGAGCACGTGACTCGATCTTGGGGTCGTGGGTTCAAGCCCCACGTTGGGTGTGGAGCCAACTTAAAAAAAAATGCTACAATTGCAGATCCTGAATTGCTGAGGCTTTTACTGCAGTCAACCACTGGAATTTTACTAAACCTTGTGCCAGGGAGGGAATGATTTCACAATGAACCCCGGGAGGTTTGGCCACTATTCAAAAGTTCTCTTCCTCATTTGTACTTCAGCGTTTTACATGCTCAAGCATAACACAATTGGGAATTTGCTGCACATAGTAAAATACTCTAAGTATCCAGTTGGAGCTCTCTGGCCCGTTCGTTCTCCCTGGTCACATCAGGAATGGGAATGTATGCCATACACAGCACACCTGTCCCCACCTCACTGCTCTTCTAAGGGGTGTCCAGCCTGCTGTTTGGGTCACTCATTATGTGTCTGTGAAGGTGACGCTGTCTGTTATGGCTCATCATGATCTAAGAATGTCCAAGTGGGCAGAAGCGCCTGGTGGTGGCATTGCTGGAGGCCCCCTGGTGCCGAGCAGAATTCCTGGAACCATTCTTGGCTTCAGCAGATACACAGCACGGTGCACGCATGCACCGTGCTGGTTCTGAAATCATCTCATTCCATCTTGCCCCAGTGAGGTCCGCGTTTTTCCCAATATTACAGTCAAGACAATTCAGAGGAGAGCAGTCAGGTTTCCCACGGTCACACAGCCAGGGTAGTAGAGGCAGGTTTTGAACAGGTCCCAGGGATTCTGAAACCGATACTCTTTATGGTTATTGCTGGTAAATTCTGTGGAACAAAGATATTCTTACGTAGAACGTTGATTATAGGAGAACCGGGGGTTTCTTTAACTTTCAGATTGAATTTCTCAATGCTTTAAAAACTGTTTATGTAATCAGGGGCTCCTGGGTGGCTCAGCCAGTTAAGCGTCTGCCTTCGGCCCTGGTCACGATCCCAGGGTCCTGGGATCGAGTCCTGCATCGGGCTCCTCATTCAGCAGAGAGCCTGCTTCTCCCTCTGCTTGTGCTCTCTCACTCTCTCCCTCTGACAAATAAATTAATAAAATCTTTTAAAAAATAAAAACTATTTATGTCACCAATGATAGACACTTTGCAGGTAAAATTAGCCAATATATTTTCCCCCCTTAAATAAAGCAGACTTGTGTAATTGTGATGTGCCTTTTTTTAAATTATTAATTTCTTGTAGGAAGTGACCAAGCTCACTCCTGGATGCTAGTCACCAGCCAAGCTTTAGGTACTGTGTGGAGAATAGCAAAGGGGTCAGTGATGTTGGCAGCTTCATGTCTGGTGGCCGCCCTCTGCTACTTCAGGACGATGCACTGCAATTTCGGGCACTGGCTGAAATGGTAGGTGGTCAGATCAGCTTCCAGTTTCACGAAGAGACCCTTGCTGTTCAAAGTATATTTTTTATATCATTGTTCCCTTTATCTTTTAGGTGGATTGGATATCTGCAGAGAAAATTCAAAAGTAAATATTTTCATATGTTATTTCCAAGGTGCAGAGAGGGTTCAAGAAGGGTGAGGAAAGGGAAAATTAACTACCTTTTCTATTTGATTTGGTCCAGGGAACCTCAGCGTGGAGGCGGAGGTTGATCTGCTCAGTTACTGTGCGAGAGAGTGGAAAGGAGAGACACCACGTGCCAAGCTGATGAGGAAGGTGAGTCTGCTGATACAGGTCATGGATGGTACAGAATGCATGTGTGAAAATCAGGAAGCAAACGTTGCACTCTGCTTTACGAAGCCCAGAGATCCGCTAACACCAGATGTGCCACGAGGAACAATTGTGGCTCTCATGATAGAGCCGAGCAGCTGCCACACGCTGGCTTTGGGCTGTCACCTGGATAGAGCGAGGGCCTTTGAGGACCTGGACGAAGACGTAAATGGGGCTGTGATTTCAGGAAATTTGAGGGGGGCACTCTTTTCAGCTCCTCCTGCCAGGCCTATGGCCCATCTCCACATGCAGGGGAGACTTCTGTCCTTGGAGGGATTAGGCACCTGGATGTAAAAGATTTTGAGGATTTTTAGAATTGCCCATTGGACCAGTCTTGGTAAATATTTCCAGCAGTCCTATCCAACCTTGTCAGCAGCGAGAAAGTTTTGTTGCAAGTACTTTTTAGCATGGTCTTAAATGTATATAGTATTTTTTTTTTTCCACTGTGGTCAAGTTATACCATCTTCTTCCCTAAATGACATTCCCTGGCCCTGAGCTTCCGGGAATTTATCAAATGAAAGAGCAGGACTTGGACTCACTACACACTGAAGTCACTTTAAAATGACTTGTGGTCGCATTCATAATTTAGAATTGTTTTCATTTTTGTTGTCCACTTTATTTGGGAGTCACACCTCAGTGGCAGTGCAGTGAATTCATTTTGCTTATTCTCTCATCCAGAGGAGTTGAAAACCAAATTCTTCTTTTTGTGCGGACAGGCTTACGAAGAGCTATTTTGGCGGCATCACATTAAATGTGTCCGACTAGTAAAGAGAGATAACTATGATGCTCTGAGGTCAGTGCTGTTCCAGATATTCAGCCAGGGCCTCTCCTTTCCATCCTGGATGAAAGAGAAAGACATTGTTAAGGTACGTCCACACACTGGAAACGTGGGGGAACAACGCGTTGACAAGCATTGCAGTGCAGATGGCTGGGTCTTCCGTGGGTGGCTCTGAGATGGAAGGAGCCTTCAAAGGCCCTACATACCCCGTCCGTCTCAGAGAGGCCATCCTACTCAGTCTTGTTTGTTTTTAATGTCACCATCTTTTCTCAAGAAGGGCATCTGTCCTTCGTAGGCAAGGTGGTCTACTAAAATTCACTTTTTTACTCTACACTTACTCGAGTTTTGACAAACACGTAGAGTGCTCCAGAGATCCCCCCTATTCCTTTATAGCCAACCCTCTCTCACTCCTAGCCCCGGGTCACCATTGATAGGTCTTACGTTTTGCCTTTTCCAGAATGTCCAATCATGGAACTATCCAGTGTGTAGCCTTTTGAATCTGACTTCTTTCATTTAGCAAAATGCATTGCCATTCATCCATGTTCTGTGAATTTGTAGTTCATTCCTTTTTATTGTTGAGTGGTGTTCCTTGACGTGAGTATGACGCAGTTTGTTTATCCATTCATCACTTGAAGGACATCTGGATTATTTCCAGTTTTTGACAAGTACGAATAAAGCTGTTATAAATATTTCCATACAGGATTTTGTCCTTTTGGGCAAATGCCTGGGAATGAGATTGTTGGGTCATGTGGTAGGTGTAGGTCTAAGTTCATAAGAACCTGTCATCTGTTTTCCAGTGTGGCTCCGCCATTTTGCATTTGTACCACTAATGTATAAGAGTTCCAGTTGTTCCACATTCTAACCAGGATTGATTTGGGGTTATTTGTAGCCATTTTGATAGATGTGCCCTGGTATCACTCTGCTTTTAGTTGGCATTCCCCTAGTGTGGAAGGATGAGTGTCTTTCCATGTGTTTATTTGCCATCCATGTTATCTTCTTAGAGAAGTGTCTGTTCAAGTCTTTTGCCCATTTTTATTTATTTGTTTATTTTTAAATTATTATTTTTTGTTTTATTTTATTATTGACTGAATTTTGAGAGTTCTTTATATATTCCAAGTACAAGTGCTTTATCAGATAGTAATTTGCAAATATTTTCTCCCAGTCTGTGCCTTTTTTTTTTTTTTCCATTTTAAGAGTGTAAGGTAGTACATTCTTTTTCTCTTTCTTCTTTTTTTTTTTAAGGCAGAACATTCTTGATGAACAACCTGAATTTTTATTTTGAATGTAGGATATTTAATCTAGGATATATATTTAAGGATGGAGGAGCAAGGAAATATAAAGTATATGTATATATATAGCTATACATGGTCTATTTCCTTACCATTTTTTAAATTACACTTGTTTTTATTAGTTTCATTTTATCTAGCAAGTACTTGTCAAGTGTGTGAGGTGTGCTAGGCCTGCTGCTACTTGCTGAGGACAGAGAATACAACCAAGCCTCTGGGCCCCCCAAGCTCAGCAGGGCAGGAAAATGGATTAGATCTCTTCACTGGATCAGAGGCTTAAGTATTCTGTAATCTTATTAAATCCCAACAAGGGTCCTGTAGAATGGGTAATATCGTCCTTGATTTATGGTGGCAGATGAGGCTAAGAGGGTAAATAATCTGCACTGGTTGAGCAGCCTCTCAGCTGGTAAGTGACAGAGTGAGGGTTGGACCCCAGAGTGCCTCATTCTAAAGCTTGTGTGCTCTCTGACGTACTATGATATTCTAACATTGTTTGGGTAAAAATAATTTCTAAAGGGATATACCCAGGCAGTTTGGGAAGTGTTTTATGCAGAAAGATTGTTTCCATAGACATAATCTTCATGTAGGTTTTCGTCAGTTGTAAAATAATAAATTAAAAATCCGATCCAAATCACTTAATCCACAAATCTAAAAGGAACTATATGCTTTTATTTAACTGTTGTTATCATGTTTTTAAACAGAGATTGCTAAGTGAGATAAGATCATGCACCGTGATGACGTACTCTAAATTGTGCGTCATAAATGTTGAGGTACTAATCATGGTTGGCATCTACTTCCTTTTCAAGCTTCCTGAAAAACTGCTCTTTTCACAAGGTTGTAATTGGATCCAGCAATACAGTTTTGGTCCTGAGAAGTATACAGGTTCCAATGTGTTTGGAAAATTACGTAAATGTGTGGAATTATTGAAAACACAGGTGAGTGTTTGGGAGAACAAAAGACTAAGAATGAAAGCGCACACCCCAGCTGTAGCGACTCTTCTCTGTCAGGCGTGTCACTTGATGCCACATAAGGAGGACACGTGGCCAGGAGCATCTCTTCTAGGAACTGACGATTGGCTTTCCTATTCTTTGTTCACCTTCCAAGTAATGAACGAGCAATGTCGTACAGACAATTAGGTCCAATATGGGTTAAGGAGACCTTTGTGGGCTCTCTGGGAAGCCTTAACAATCATGTACCTGTTTCCCCTCAAAAGATGGGGTGCAAGGTGCACACAGCGCACTCAAAAATGCACTTCTGGGATGTGCCCTATTAATAACTTGGGCACAGCACAGATGCTATAATTTGAACTAAGAGTTTTTCCTGCCTTTTAATAGACGCAGATTTTGGATTGTTGAAATGGATCCTCCATGGTAAATACCATAACATTTCTGTGCCATAGTCTCATGTAAAACTGATATGTAAATAGTCATTGTGAGGATTCAGTGAGTTAATACATGTGGAGTGCTTTAATCTGTGCTTGGTGAGTTAGTATGAAGGAATGCTAGTTAGTACTGTTTGTCTCTGGATTATCTTCTGTGTGACCCAACTATCTTAAGATGTCTTAGGAAACTAACTTGCGTGGCATTTTACCTAGTTGGTGGTGCTTTTTTGAAAAATGTTTCATTTTAACTAGTTTGTGATTGTAAAAGTAATACATACTTGTGGTTAAAAAAAATCAGGGTCAAAAGTTATAAAATGAAAAGTTAAAGTTCCCCTCTATTAATCTTTGGTTTATTTTTTAAGTACTTTGAAAAATTATGCCATGGTGTAGGAATTCACCTTTCCCCTGTTAATTTCCCGTTTACATCTGTATTTTTAGTGGACTGAATTAAGTGGAATTAAAGATTATCACAAGAGAGGAAGTATGTGCAACATCCTTTTTTCTGATGTTCTTCTGGAATATAAACTGTATGAAGCTTTAAAGTTTATCATGCTATATCAAGTCACTGAAGTTTATGAACAAATGAAGACTAACAAGGTCATTCCCAGTCTTTTTCAACTCCTGTTTTCCCGGGAAACATCATCTGACCCTTTAAGCTTCATGATGAACCACCTGAATTCTGTGGGCGACACATGTGGACTAGAGCAGGTAATAGGGGCAGAAGAATCCTGTGTGTTTGATTCAGGATGATACTGACAGTCCTTGAACACACAGGTGTTTGGAGTTTACTTTCAGCGGTGATAAAACCCACTGCAAAGAGGGTTTTATCTTAAATCCTTAAAAAGAAGGAAAAGAAGAGCAAGAAACCTCACTGCTCCGTGCTGTTTGCTGTGTGTCTGCCCAGCCCTGTGGCCGGGGGGCCCCAGTGTGAGAAGCCTTTCTAACCTTTCACTCTGCCTCTCAGATGGTAGTAGGTTCTCTCACAGCAGAGTTGAACTAGGAGGAAGTCCTGTTGGAAAATGAGATGAAGTTTGGGAAAGCACTTGGTTACTTACTAAAGATAAATAGACATTATTGAAAAATTTTAGGGGCACCTGGCAGGCTCAGTTGGAAGAGCATGCAACTCTTGATCTCAGGGTCGTGAGAGATTGGGTGTAGAGATGACTAAAAACAGTAAATGAACTTTAACTTAAAAAAAATTACTGAAAAATTTTAAATCCGGGGATGCCTGGGTAGCTCATTCAGTTAAGCGGCCAACTCTTGATACCGGCTCAGGTCATGATCTCAGGGTTGTGAAATCGAGCCCCGCATCAGGCTCCATATTAGCACGGAGTCTGCTTCTCCCTCTCTCCCTGTGCTTCTCTCTCTGCTCTTCTCTCCCTGCTCATGCATGCTCTCTCTCTGTCAAATAAATAAATGAATAAAATCCTAAAAAAATTTTTTAAATCCAGAGAATACTTTTTTATCCCCATGGTAAAGAGGTTTTGTTGTGCTTTGCTGTCTTAGGCAGTGCACAAAATTACCTGCATTTTTATAAAAAATGGATATAAAACTAGTTGGAAAACAGTGTGATTTTTTTATTCTGAGCATTCCTTTATTTTTTATTAGTTTTTTTTTTTATCCCCCCAAACAGCCTTTCCCTGTAATTTTTTCATGCTAGTCTACAAAGATGTTCCTCTGCCTTCCCCTGCCTTCCACGTCATGGGCATTTGTTCGTGTCTGTGGCCCCTCAATGGTTCATGTGTGGGTCTGTAAATAAGCACATTACTCCATAAGCTGCAGGAGAACACGCTCCCTCTACTGGTGGGGGACAGGGAGTTGGAAATGTGTGTTTGTGATCTCTTTTTCATCTCTTCTCCAGATCGATATGTTTATTCTTGGGTACTCCCTTGAAATAAAGATCAAAGTGTTCAGGCTGTTCAAGTTTAACTCCAGAGACTTCGAGGTCTGCTACCCAGACTTGCCGCCCAGGGAGTGGCCAGAGATCTCCCTGCTGACGGAGAATGACCGCCACTACCACGTTCCCGTCTTTTGAGTCCAGTGTGGACTGGGTACCAGCTCTCGCCAATGGCAGTGGTCCTACTTTCAAGGAAAGTCCAGCTGGAAAACCAAAGCTAGCATCACAGCCATTGAAAGGATCAGGACCTTCTTCCCTGGAGGGGCAGGTGCACTGGACGCAGGGGTGCACGGATATCCTTTGTTTTCCAGCAGTTTCCTCCAAAACAGCCTCACTAATATATTTGTGGGTTGGTGGTTTGACCTTGTTCATATGGGCTCTGGCCATTTCACATGCAGCAGGCATTTCAGGGCACAAGGACAGTAAATTTGGGCAGTACAACACCAGGAAAAAATCGAGAGGAAAAGGGGAAAAGGACTAACCAGGAAAGACTTTGTCTCTAACCTCAATGTTCTCGTTAGGAACCTTGTCTTTGACTGATTCTGGATCTTCATAAGCGTGGCCTTATTTTAGAAGCATTACCTTCCCTGGAATCTTTATGGTATATTGATTTTTCTAGAACCACTTGATTAACTGTAAAATTGTGTGTGTGGGTGTACACACATATATACATGTGTATACATTGTATAGTTTTATATATACATATATGAACACATACACACAAATAATCACTACTTTGTAATGTTGTACAGTTTGTTTTATACTGCTTTACATTTTTTTGTTACTGTTGCATCTGGCTGGTCCGATTTGTTTTATATGGATAAAAGAGATTAATTCTGTAGATGAAGGCAACTGAATGACAATTATTGAACTATTACAAAACATTGAACTGTGGTGTATTTATTTACATGTCTATTTAATGTGTGGTAGCTAGAATCATGCCACCCTAACCCCTACCATGTCTATGTCATAATCTCCAGAACCCGTGAATATGTTGGGTTAAATGGCAAAGAAGAATAATGTTGCAGGTGGAATTAAGGTACTAATCTGACCTGGAAATAGGGAGGTTATTCTGGGTTCTCCAGGTGGGCCCAGTATAATCCCCAGGGTCCTTAAAAGGGGATGAGGGAATTGGAAGAATGTCAGGGCCAAAGGGAAATGTAAAATCCAGAACGGAGAGAGACACAACATTTCTGGCTTTGAAGATGGAGGAGGGAACCATGACCGAAGGAATAGGGGTGGCCTCTGAAAGCTGAAAAGGCAAGAAAACAGAGTCTTCCCTAGAGCCTCCAGATTTTAGCCCAGGGCAATCCGTGTCAGACTGCTAGCCTACAGAACTGTAAGATAATGCATTTGTGTGGTTTAAGTCACTAGGTTTCTGGTAATGTGTTAGAACAACAATTGACAACTAACGTACTCAAGGTAACTAATTTTTGGTCATCTTTATTTTGGAAATACTTTTCTAGTTTATTTTGTTAATCTTTATTTTGAAGGTACTTTGCTGGTCTGTTTTGAATTTCAGTAAGTACAAAATGACTTTTAAAACCTTGGCCAGTGATATACTACTTCAAAGGGACAAATCCGTTCTAAGAGTGATTTACTTAACATTTTTTATGCTAACGTTTTCTCCCATTTTCATACTGTTTCCACTATAAGTAAAATAAGGGACATTAAATGCTGTGGTATATAAAAATAACATCCCGATTCTTTGGTACTGAGGATAATCAGTACGTCCAATGGTACGTTGTCCTCTACCTGCTGTCATTTCGTTTTCTGGTTGAAGAGTTGGAAAGCAGTCAGCTCAGACCAAGGGGCTTTGTGTTACCTTGATAGCCCCACGAAACGGGAGTTCTTTTCTTTTTTTGAAATAGGAGTTCTTCATTGATCTTTATAGTGCATTCCTGCTTGGAAGCGTCTATGATTTTGCATAACTCCTGTCATTTCATTGACCCTGTCGAAAGTTATCCCCATGATCTATTACTGGGACCAAGAAAAAATGAACTCCACCCTTTGTGTTCACAAGCAGATGCGATGACAGACTGCAGCAGGCTACTGTGATATTCGTGGACTGTCTGATCTAGACTTATGCTTCCAGTCGGGCTGTCCAGGCACCTACATGGCATTTGTAAATTACCACTCACCTTGCATCTCCTTACCCGATGTAATGATTTCCACATCAGCCCAGGATTGAGAGGAAGAGCTTTTCCCAGGCATGGGCAGCCTATAGCTCTGTGACCTATTAATCAATTATGTTTATCCATAACCTTGTGTTGGGGGGAGGCAGGGCAGGGTGGAGTGAGACCAAATTGTGAAAAAAAGGACATTTTGTTACAAGGAAATTAAAAAATTAAGATCTCTAAATAGTTGCTATGTTCTGGGAAGGCATCCAAACACGATTTTAAGGGAGGAGGTACTGGGTGTTTTTGGTCTTGTTTTGCTTTTAATTCAGTTGTGTAACGAATAACAAACTAATTGGAAGGAAGTGTATATAAATTTTGCACCACTTTTAAAGGCCAGCAGTAACTTGGAGGTGAATTTCCTGTGTGATGCCAACATTTAATGTCTTTCTAACCTTATATGTTTTAAATGATGAGAAAATTATAGCAAAAATGCAAACATATGTCCTTGTCCTTTCTGATTGTTTAAAAATTTAAGCCCAATGCAGGGCTCAAACTGAGGATTGTGGATCCTCAGTTCAAGACCCAGCTGAGATCAAGAGTTGGAAGCTTAACCAACTGAGCCACCTAGGCACCCCTGTCTCTTTCTGATTTTAGAATACATTTCTCTCTTAAATTTTGACCATTATGTGTCCATACCGAGGGGTTGGATGAATACCAGTATGAGACTTTCTTATTGTGGCAAAATGTACATAACATAAAATTTACCATTTTAATCCTCTTTAAATGTACAGTTCAGTGATATTAAAGACATTTACACTGTTGTGTTACCATCACCACCATCCATCCTCAGAACGTTTTTTATCTTCAAGGCGTACTTTTTTGATAGGAGGCAAGTTTAATTCCCCCGCCTGGTACTTGGACTTCTTTTACTTCTCACATTCTTTGTATCATGGCCTTGTCATGTCAGTGTTTTCTCCAGGCTTACACGCAGAAGTCCAGTGTGAGGGAGGTTTAGGTGACCACATGGATCAGGCAGATTCTGTTCTACTTCATCTCCAAAGTAAAGAAATAATTACAGGTGGCTTCTGGTTTCATCCTCGGAACACTATCATTTAAAAGCTCCCCAAGAAACTGTATTAATTCAGGGCCACCCTGGTGACTTGCATTTCTTGGATGTGGGCTTTCACAGTCTTGAACAAAGTCATTTCCACCCAGAGGGAAAGCCGCAGGGCCTTCCGTAGTGTGTGGGAGACCCCAGATCAAGCCAGCGTAGGATCTGCCCGGCCTCCGGGAGAGAAGAGCAGCCCAAATCGGGGCATTCACGTTAATTTTCCAAGCATTTGCATACAAATGAATTTTGTAGGAAAATAATTACTGTTCTATATCAGGTGGCTTTCTCATATTCTAGTGAGATCAAAGAAAAAGACCATTTTAATTCTGTCCAAGCTGATCTTGGGAAGGAAAGGAATCTGACTTCTGAGTACTCTGGAAATGTTGGGAATTCCACTTTAAAGAAGGTAAATTTTTGTGTTGATAACTAAACTGATATGTGAAAACCTATTCAAATACAAATACAGAAATGACTAATTCAGAATTAGTGTCAGCAAGTTCCTCAGATGGTGTGATTGTTTTCCCAAGAATGTGCTTCACACTGCTTAAGACTAGTTACTGTGTAAAACATAAAAATAACAATCTATATTTTCGTGGATCTAAAACTTAAACTGTCTACTGGGTTACTTATCATTAAGTTGACTATTGTTTCATTACCTTAGTATTGACTGTATTTAGATACACGTTTCTCCATAGACATTCAGTTTCCTTCAAATCCTATTTTCTTCACAAGGATTCTTTTATAGTCAGACACAAAATTAGGTGGGTCCAAACTGCGCAATCACTTTTATGTTATTTGTTCAAAATCATTGGGTCTTCCCTTAATTCACTTTGGTTTTAATCCTGTCCTATCCTGTAGGCTGAGAAAATGAAAGCTTATCTGGATTATGTTTATGTTTAATATCAACGTGGGTTGTAAGTAATGGAAAACCACTCACTCCCTTACCCAACAGCCCCTGGACCAAAGTGCTCTGCAGAACAGCCAGAGGTGTGTGCTGTCTGCACTTGAAGGTCATAGACCGTGTGAAGGTCATAGACCGTCTCGTGGAATCGAGAGCTCTGTTGGAACAAGTGTTGCAAAGCCAGCTCTGGTGGGTGAACCACACATGGCATTTAAAGTTTCATCCTGGCTGGTGTCTCTGGAGAAATACTGTTCTCTGTTTAAAGACCAGCTTTGTGTGTGAGGGGGGTGGGGGGTGCCTGGCTGGCTCAGTCTGTAGAGCATGCAACTCTCTATCTCAGGGTCGTGAATTCAAAGCCCCACGTTGGGCATAGAGATTACCTTAAAAAACAAACAAACAAACAAATAAATAAATAATAAAACAAAACCCAACTTTCCATATATAATTGATCTATTGGTCCTCACAGTCAATGTCATCAGGGCGTAGGTTGTTCTTTAAGTCATTTTGCTTCCATCACTTATTTGTGATGATCTTGGAAAGCTTAGTCAAGAGGAGTTCCTAAAATTTAAAAAAAAAAAAAATGCTTGCTTTAAGTATTTCCAGCTTAGTTGAGACAGGCTGTAAAACCCATCTGCACAAGGAGCTTATTTAAACCAGGAATGTGTTCCTGAGAAGCATTCCTAAGTACAGAAATATTTTTCCCATAGAAATCGCTTATTTGTAAATAAAGAATTTTTTTTTTTTTTTTTTTTTGCTCCTAACTTATAAAGCCTCACATGGAAGATTTAGATGGAACCAAATAGAGGTCGGTGGTTAAAACAAGGTGGGAGCGTAGCATTTTACAGTTTTGTTCACCCTGAAGTTTAAAAAGGTGGAATGAGGGTCAAATCGGCAATGCGAAAATGCTATGTGGACACCGTATGGCTTTACCCCATTGCACCTTACCATCGATCAACAAATTTATCAGGACAAACACAGAAGCCTGAGACATTCCTGGCCCCATTTCTTGTTATCACTGCCATCCCCAAGGACAAAACCTGGGAAACAGCTTGGGAACTGTTTCACGCACTGGTCAGCACGTGCACGAATTTCCTCTGGGTGCTGGCTTCTCTGCTGGACTGAGCTTCATGGAAAGGACGTCAGGGCCAGGTGAAGAGAAGCAGCTGGTGAAAACTGACCAACAGCTGGAGCGAAGACCTGAAAGGTTGCTTGAATGTCCTGGAACTTGCAGTGTGTGATTTCAAGTAGACACGTTTATGACTCCCTTAAAAAAGGAGCAGAGATGAGCTGATGAATGATGAAAATGATGTTTGTCATAAAATATTTGTATCATTGTAGCTAAGTAGGAGAGGTAAATGTGTCTCTCTTATCAGAAGCAACCTTTGGCTATCATTTAACTTGCTAGATAGATTAAAGGAAAAACTCAGCCCTGGTGGATATGTGATCTACGTTTAATGCATTAGTCAGTGGTAGGTAAATGAGAAATTGTTTCCACTTGCTTTATATTTCACAAGATAATAATGGAACACTTGAATCTGCTTGTGAGACCAGTTATATTTAGTAGTTGTATTTTCGGCTGTCCCTCCTGTAGGTCTTTACAAGTGCGGGCGAATGTAAAGATACTCTATGTAGTGTACAAGAAAGGGAAACCCTGCACAATTCTCTTTTTAGAGCAGGAAGGAAAGTGGCTTTTTCCCTTTGAAAATTGTGGCAGAGCAGTGCTTTTAAAATTATTAACGGCGAGGGACAAGTTTTTAAATTTTCCAATGCTTTGCAGACTGGCACTTTTGTAAAAATATAGTAAAAATGTTACACTGAGATCAGGTTGCTATAAACGTTTCTCAGTTCTTCCTGTCAATGTCTGTATGTGTTACTGCAGACCGGCAACAAAGGGTTCACAGTGATGCTGGTCTGGAGAGCGCACTTTAGTAGCACTAACCCAGGAGTTTCAGGCAGGAATCAATAGATTCTGATGCCATTTACCTGGGAGTTTGGGATTTTGCCCAGATTTTGGGCAGTGCATTTTTGTTGTCATTTTGTGGGACTTTTTGCTGTTACTGGTCCAACCAAGACGCTGTATGGAGAGGATGCCGTGTGTGTCTTGCTTGGGGCACCTCACTGAGGAGGCGAGTGGGGCCGGAATCTCCCCTCCAGGCTTTCCTAGGTTTCTACAGTCTCTTGGCAGAAAGTAGCAAGAACCTCATTTTGATTTCGGTTCCTTGTGCTAACAAAAAATCTTCATCATCACACTTTATTTCTTTACTGGATTTCAAGCTCCTGTGGGAAGGGATGTGGGTCTTGTATCATTGTGAGGAGAACAGTACTCATACAAATATCAAATGAATTCCAAATCCCAAGCTGATGAGAGCTAAGTGCAGTTGTTACTACTTAAAGAAGCAAAGACTCTCATAGTGTATTTTCCCCTGAAATTTCTTTTTATTGATTCAGGGCTTAAAGAGAGCTAGTTTTTAGACGTCCTGGGGAGAGAAGCTTCCTGAAGTTAATGATACCCTGGCATACTCATCACGTCAGTGTGACCTATGGAATGGCCACAGTAGACATTAGAGGTCAAGCCAAGTTTTGCTAACACTGTATCTCTAGTGAGGTTAAAATTAACCAAGGACACTGACTTCACCCAGAAACAGGTTTTTAAATAAATTATGGCTCCTAAAAGAATGTTTTGATGTGGGTCATGGACTTCTTTTATATATATATATATATACATTTTTTAAAAAATTATTATTATGTCATGGACTTCTAAAAAGGAACAGAACTTTAAGATGTCCAGGGGACACATGGGCCATGTTCCATGCTGGTGGACAAGGCCTGACCTCAGTCTGGATTCTGC